AAGAGCTTCGGAGCTAAGAGGCGGCGTCGCTTACCTCTCTCTTACGTCGAGGCGGGGGCAGGGGCGTTGAAGTAGATGCTGAAGACCACAAAAGTCTTGCATTTCGCATGTGATGTTTGTAAAGTTCACAGTAAAGTCGTCCTTTGTAAAGTCGTCCGATGCCTTCCATTTCGTTTCGTAAGAGGATAACCAAAGCGAACAGCGCTTCAATACAATCGGCCATTGTTGTTGTCAATGTGAAGGATTCCCGCGCGGTTTGGATTTTATGAAGCAGGCATGTAAACGGTGACGTCATGACGCAGCAGCGGCAGCTCTGGGGAGAGGGGTCTGCCTACAGACCTCCACTCTCAGGACAGTTCCGGTGCAGACCTCCACTCTCAGGACACCTCCACTGTCAGTACAGGAAGTGACGATTCTGACGTGTTCTAGCTAATAGTGATGCTAATGATAGCTAATTCCTAATAGTAGTATGTGTGTCGTTTGTACAGTGCTACTTATATGTTATGTAAAGCCTGCATACTTATGTGTTTTATTTCTGTATTGTTACAGTTTTACAAAGTAAAAGCAGAACAGTAAAGTCAAGAAAGAAAACCTTGCATCTTTATTGGAGGACTTTTAAATGTTAGCTAACTGTCTAGCTACGCATAGGGATACGCGCTGTAAGGGCAGAACAGTTCAATCAATCCTAAGTGATGAAAAGTGATACTTGTACTGATTATTAACTACAATACAAGGTGTTCCTATTATAAACTATATATATATATATATATATATACGCGGCGGAGGTGGGGAGGTTCCAGCTGGGAACCTCCACCCCGCTGCGGGAGTGGGACCCCTGGACGGTGGCCATCAGAGTCGAACCCGCAGTTCGGAGGAACCGACGGCCAGAGCACCGGCACTAGGCCGGGCCGGCGCGGAGGCCCTCCGACAGTGGGTCGCGTTTGCCTTTCGATCAGTGAGAGGAGAAAAATGCAACAACAATTGTCAAAATCCGTTAATATATGGATGAGTGGGGGGGGGGCTGGAAACAGGCCGTGGGGGGACACCCGAGACCGGGCAATGTCCCCGGTAGAAACCGGGTGAAATAGCCAAAAAAAATCAAAATTAATAAAACCGGGGAAAATAGGGGGGAAAGTGAAAAAAAGTGTCCGAAAATAGGCACTCGTGAGGCGGGCACAATCCCCTGTCAACTCCCGTTACATTCCTCCATGGTGTCATTTGAGCGAAAAACTTTTACGAGAACCAGGCTGGGGGGGTCAGGGCTTGACCAAGGCCGATCCAAAGTGCACCACGGTTGGCGGACTCATCACCTCCGTGATGAGTCTCCTTTGTGATTTGAAAAATTCCTTCGGTGGGTGGAAAAAAAAACTTGTTCGTCAGAATCGTCACTCTCTGTACTGAGAGTGGAGGTGTCCTGAGAGTGCAGCCTGCACCGGAACTGTCCTGAGAGTGGAGGTCTGCAGGCAGGCTCCCATGGAGATTCTTGTGCTCTAAAGTTGAAGTTTAGTTGATCCAAGTGCCAAACTCAGCATCGTCGTACTGAAGCTGTACCTCATTAGTTAGACCACAGAAGTTCTTTATTTATTGGATGACTTCAGTAACAGAGGAGGGGATGCCATTCGGAAGCTCCAATTTCGTGCGTCTGCCCTCATCTTTGTGGGAGAGAAACTCTCTGGAGGGAACTTTTTGAGTTCAGCCTTTGCAGACCATTTCCATGCATAAAGACCTATAGAACACACTGCAGGAAAGGTGAAACCCCCCAAAAAGCATGATAGGGCCTCTTTAAGACAGGGCTACATTGAACTTGTTATTATTTGTCATACTTTTAAGTCATATAGGTCATTTTTCAAGTGTATATTTAAGAGTATACATGCATGTGCTTCTAATGATAGAACTATATGCTTGGTTATATCTAATGAACCTACATTACTGCAATGGTGGAAATTGCATACCTCTCTGACTGGCTTCATCATTGAATTGCTTTATTTGTTTTTACATTGGAACAAGAACACCTGGTGTACAGTAAATTGTAAAGGAGACTTCTGGAGCAAGGACTCGAAACACAATGAGAACAGGGGAAACTTTGAGTTTACCATCACTACCTGAATACATCGATTAAGAATCTGCCTAGACTTTAATTGCATGAGGAATACTGAGACCATCTTAGGTCAGTTGTGTTCTTAAAGTTTGGGCAAAAGATCCAGATTTGGAAGAAGTTCTCTTTCAAAATGAGTGCACTTCATGCATATTCTTTTACTGTCATGCACTCGCGATCTGTTAAGGTTGAACCCTGCTCTAGTCCAATGCATGCTGGGATTGGCTGTGTGGATTGACAAGATATTTACGAGTCTAGTCAGGACTCGAAAGCAGTTTTTGAATGTATTAAAATGATGCAAGTAAAAGCTAGAGTCATGGTTTTATATGCAAACAGGGACCTACTTCTTTCTGAGACCCTTACCGATGATTTCCTCTGGGAAAAGTGATTCCAGAAAAACATATATTCCAAACTTCTTCTTTGAGAGTTTGAGAGGTTGCACATTTTCTATTATTCATCTGTAGAAAAAGCTTGATTCCCTCTATTGTCTCTTCCCAACAGCGGACTACAGCACCAGTGAGATGCTCGTGAACATGGGCAACCTGCCCTTGGATGAGTTTTACCCTGCCGTTGCCATCGTCACTCTAATGCGCATCCTGAGAGACCCTTCCCTTTCCAACCACCACACCATGGTGGTCCAGGCCGTCACCTTCATCTTCAAATCTCTGGGCCTCAAGTGCGTCCAGTTTCTGCCGCAGGTCATGCCGACTTTCCTCAATGTCATCCGGGTCTGTGATGCCAGTATCCGAGAGGTTGGTACTACTAGAGAACAAGAGCACACCTTCTGTATGCAGGGTGTTATCTGTTATTCCTCAAGAAAGTGTCTCAGGCCCACATTGTGTCTTTTTCTGGCAGAAAGGGGTTCCCAGCACTTACAACAAAAAAAAAGATTCTATGACTATATCTGGAGAATATATCACACTTTTGTATGACAGATATGCCCTTAGCTGTTTATTATCTATTTGTGCTACAACATGTCTGTTAGACATTATTTGTTGCCAGTAGCACAAACCGGAAGATGCCTGCTCTCACAATTTGTATGAATGAACTTCACTGCTCAGTCTGACAGCCGTACGGTGGGAAACAAAGCACGGCCAATCTCCTCCCACAAGTGTTTTTATCTTTGTTATAATGGTTACCGTAATGACTCGGACACAAGACAAAAGCGTCCGCTCGGAATGACTGCATAAAAACAGGGGTACCTTAGGAAGGAGATGCTAAGTGCGGCAGCATGTGCTCTTTCGTCATGAGAAACAATACAAAAAAGATGCTCACGCAATAAAACCAATGTGGACACTCTTTTAACTTTCTGTGTTCTCTTTGTTCTCCAGTTCCTGTTCCAGCAGATGGGAATGGTGGTGTGCTTTGTGAAGATCCACATCCGCCCCTACATGGACGACATCTTCACCCTCATCAGAGTGAGTAACTGTGTCAACACCCCCCCCTCCTTCCCACCAATCCAAATCCCTAAACTCAGATCATCCAGCCCTCCTTATTTTCCTGAGTTTTTTTTCGAGTCAGGCAAACAGCTGCAAACTCTTAATTGCGCTCAGTTGTGCTCTCTCACTTCCCTCATTACGAGTAATGTGTCCAGGGCCTCTGGAAGGAGTCTAGCCCCATGTCACAGTGTACTGCACTCCATGTGTGTTGCTGCTACTAACAAGATTAGAGACTGTGGGACTGAAGGAGTGAGAAAAATGTTTCATTTGGATGATATTCTTTTTATTTTGGCTCATTGTTCAGAATAACAGGGAGAGAGAACTGGCGAGGACTCCTCACATTTTTCGTTATCACATGACGTGGAGCAACTGCTAAAGCCATCGGCCTTGGACTTGCACAAACACACTTGTCTAGCACATAATCATAAAGGCAAGGGCACAAAATATCATATGACCGTCCTTGCGTCTCGGTAACACCATTAGCGGCACTTTTTGCGATGGCTGCAACCCCTCCTGAAGAAAAGTAATTGAGAGAGTTGAACCACTGCGCCTCAAGTCCCTCTGAGTTAATAAATGGCGAGTGAAACAAAGAATCTATTCATTTTTTCGCTCCAGCGAGCCTACTACATCCAGATGAGGGGGCTGGAATAGCCATTCAGGATGTTCACTGGAGTCAGAGGAAAGCAGGATGTTGGGGGCTGCTGGAGACCTCTGGCCGCTGACAAAACACCTCGGCCAGATCTCACAGCTGAAGCCCATTGACTGATTGGCGCATTGCGTGACTCCAAGTCTTCCACCTCCAAGTCCAATCGCTATTATCTCTAATGTACACAGAGGCCATGCCTTGATTTTCCAAAACGGTGTCACAAGACACACAGACGTGATGTCAGTCGCATGCTGACAGGAAATTGTCTCCATTCCTCCGAGTAGCGTCGTGACACTCTCTCTGCCTCTGGCAAGTGAAGGCTTTGTCTGTCCCTCTCGCTCAATGATGGAAAGACATTTTGACCAAGGTCTTCAGAGCCACACACACTATAAGAGAGAAAGTAGATTAGGCAGTGCTTTGTAGAACTGCACAATTAATTGAAATTACCTTTAAACAGCAATGTGGACTAATGTAATAATTAAATCGCTGGAAACAGAAAATAAAAAAACATTTAGAATGAAGTTGTATCGAGATACTCCGGCGTACAAATAGTATTTTCTCTTTAAATCCTCTTTAAAAATCACACTATCCTCATATTTTCCAATGTCAATGAAAAATCTAAAAAGTAAAATCCTTCTATTATCAAGAATTATATCACAGTTGCAATATCAGTCAAAAATAATCCCAATGGTTTTACCCCCCCCCCGAGTCATTCAGCCCCCCCGAGTCATTCAGCCCTGGTGCTTTGAACTAAGGGCAATATTGTACTTTAATTATTCATCTTGCAAGCAATTTTCTGCTTTATGAAATTTAAAATACCCTACATATGTAACATGAAAATGTTTTCATGTTTGTTCTATTTTAAAATGTAGCAGCTGTTACAAAAATCCAATAGATTATTATTTTCTTATATTCTTTACTTTATATACAGAATTTTTACCTTTTTAAAAACTAAAATATATCTCATTACAACAGACATCTTTTGTTGTGTAATGTCTTTCTTAGTTTATAATTTTTTTTAATTAAAACTCCATATAATAGTATTTTAATTCATGTCAACATCTTGTGTTCTGTCCTGCAGGAGTACTGGACACCAAACAACCCCATGCAGAACACCATCATCCTGCTGATCGAGCAGATTGTGGTGGCGCTGGGTGGAGAATTCAAGCTGTACCTGCCTCAGCTCATCCCTCACATGCTGCGTGTCTTCATGCACGACAACAGCACCGGGCGCAGTGTCACCATCAAGGTCAGTGCAATGTGCTCATCAACCCTAATGTGCAATTAAAGGCCTACACATGTCTTAAGTAATAGTATTTCACTATTTTTACATATTGTGATGAAAGTGTAGCTCAAGAACCAACATTTTAAATAAATTGCTAAAGTAATGCTATTGATTCAGGTGGTGTTTAATGAATAACACTAATTACAACTAATCATAAGGTATTTTAGTTTTTTTTGTTCTTTTTTTTGCTGTGATACATATTTTTCTTTCGTTTATGATAGGATTTAAAACAGATATAAGATATTTTGTAATTGTGACACATGAATGAATTGATAGAGCTGATCTGATTTTGTTGCAGGAAACCTACAGTAATTCTTGAAAACAGAAGAAACATAAATACAAAAAAAATGTAATTGAAACATTTGACAAATTGAACGTCTGGAATTAACTTGTGGTCGCAGAATGGAACAGTTTAAGTGCTCCTAGAAACCTCGAGACGGCTTGAAAAAATTGCTTGGAAATGGGATTATTGCTTCTATGAATGCTTGTGCCGCAGAGTACAGAGCAATAGCTGAAATAAAAAAGAAATTGAGTCATTTAAAAAGTCCATACAACAAACCAAAGTGCCTGCTGTGGCGCAATGCATAGGCAGTATCACATCAGAGAGACCTCGGTGTGTGTAGTTTTTAATGATGCACTCCCTGCATATTGCATTAAGCTCCAAGTCCTCGAGCAATGCACCATTTTCCATTTTGTACAGTCACTTTCAATTTCCTATCGTGCCTTTGACAATTTAACTGTTTGGCTTATTTCAAACTGTCGCTTTCCAATTGACCTATAATAGCTTTAAGTATTACAAAAAATCCTGCATATTGTCACGCTTTGGTGTGGATTCAACGAGTTCTCTTTTTAGTGGAGCGTATTTCTATTCTAGAGAAGAAGAAGAAGAATTGGAGGGATGAAACCCTCTTTAATGGTCACACATGCAGAGCACACAGCACACAGTGACATTTGTTCTCTGCTTTTAACCCATCCTAGTACCAGGAGTCTAGTAGTAGGAGCAGTGGGCAGCTATTGTACAGCACCCGGAGAGCAATGGGGGTGGGGGGTTGTCCGGTGCCTTGCTCAAGGGGACCACGGCAGGGCCCAGGAGGTGAACTGGGACCTCTCCAAGTAGCAGTCTACACTCCATACTTTAAGTCTCTTCAGGGACTTGAACCAGCGACCCTACAGCTCACAGTACAAGCCCCTACTGACTGAGCCACTGCCGGATAGTGCTTTCCTTGATGACCACAAAGTGCTGTGTGCAAAACAAAAATGATAAATTCAACACAACTTCTAGTAAATAAGTGCATGGTTTGCCGAAATATCCCGCCTGTACATGAAATGGCAGCAGTTTTTGAGTCCTAAGAATGAGGTATGAGAAGTATTAAGGAAGAACAGAATAAACTGATTAATCAGTCAGATGAATATAAAAATGTTTTTGGAATAATCTTTCATAACAATCGGCTGAAATTGCATTGGATAATCTCATCAACCATCCTGTCGTTCTATCAGGATAAAAGCTAAAGTTTGATCACAGACTTGATATAAAGGTACCATGTGTAGTTTTTGACTAGGTGCAGCACTTTTTTTTTACGAGTGTCTTCATACCATGCATGTATAAAGATAACTGCATACAGCAGTGGTGCATAAAGACAAGATAGCCGTACTCTTGACTACAAAAATACCCAGATCTTCCAGGGTTAGCCCGCCGATTTCCCCCATATGTTCTGACCTAATTTTATTTAAATAAGGCCTATTTAAGTGTTCCGACTAGGTAGTTGATTTGGCTACAAACGTCTCCAATCTTTGCCAATCTGCATCACTGGTTAAGCGTTTTGGCCCAATGACATCATTTCACTGACACAGAAATTAACAGCCACCTTTTGCCCATGGATGCAAGTGTTGGAGGTGGGGCCGCTTTCATTCCTATGGAAATGTCTTAGTGGAGTCCTGATGACTCACGGCCCGTCCACACACAGGAATGAAAAAAATGTTGATGCTCGGCGTGTCTGAAGCTTGGCGATTTTTTGCGAGCAACGCGACCAACAACCAATCACATGAATCTCCCGCCCCCGACATACAAAGCAATAGCAATGTTAAAACGAAGTAAACTGGATATAAACTCCCCAAACAGGCGAAAACCTACCAGTTTCACCCACTGTCTCTGCCTCCTCCCTCCCTGCCTGGTTCCTCCGGTTTGTATCCCGGTAAATAGTTCTGGTCGTAGAGAACCGGGTGATTTGCTACCGTAATTTCTCGTTTGGAATATGAGGAAATGAACTGCGGTCTGGCTCTCCCAGCTTGCACGCGGTTTGATTGGCTAGCGCTTGTACTGGCGGGATTTGCATAAACGGGATTTGATTGGCTGATGCCAGCTTCGAAAGCATTGGGAGCATCAAAAGTGGAACATTGCTCAACTTTTGATGCTCACGATGCTTGCAAAGCCATGCTCCGCTCCCCACAATGCAGTTCGGCGAAGATTAAAAATCTTCTACGTCACCCCATTCAAGTGAATGGGCGAAGATTTGAAAGATTTTTTTCATGCCTGTGTGTGGACGGGCCGTTAATGTGACTGACACTAAAGTTGTAGTACCACCTTGGAGCGACTAAGAAAAATAGATTAAACACTCGGTTCACTTCCTGGGGGCCTGACCAAAACACCCCGAACATCTGGCCGGTCTCAACTCATTCAAATGAAATGAGAGGATAAATTACTCTTACGCTTTAATGGCATTTTACTACTTTTAGAACCTATTCATTTAAATAAGGGATATTTAAGGGTTTTTGCTGGCTTGTTGAATTTCTTTAAAAAAACGTGACTGACACAGAAGTTTTAGTACCACAGTTTGGCCACTACGAAAATTAGCTTTGGCTTACTCAGTACGAGCACAAGCATGCAAACGACATGATTCACATTTATAATGACCATGTAACGCTGTGTTACTAATCCGTTTGTGGCATTAATGCACCAAGAAACGTAGTGATGCACCAGTAAAGGAAAGGAAGGAGAAGGCTGCTAGTCAGCGAACATGGATGTTAACAACGCGGGGTCTAAAAGATTAAGAAAATCATATAACGTTTTTTGAGAGGAAAGAATAGATTCTGCACCTTTAACTTTGTCTTGATTATTGGAAAAAAGGTGGTGGTGAGCTAAAAGATAAAAAAGTGATTTAATATTTGAGTAGATAACATAAATTATCTTCCTCTGCCAAGAGAAGTGTGTGTGTGTGTGTTTTTTAAAGACCTCATCACTCCACACTCCTTCAAAAGGCACAGGAGCTCAGGCCACAGTTGACTTATTGGGGTGCTGCTTTCTGTTTGCGGTTTCCATCGATATCCATCAAAAACCATACAGGTCTAAGCCTTTCACTTGTAATACCTCAGTTCAAAGACGGCATGGACCTGTAGCTGACACACTCTCCTGTTTCTGCAGCTGCGGCCAGAAGCTGTCTGGGTTTCCCCTCAAACTCTAAATCATGGTTTTCGGGCACAGACCACAAAGAGAGATTCGTAAGAAGCGCGGCCATCCTGTGCTCTCTGCTCTTGTGCTGTTTTGTCTCAGTCTTCAGTGTTAGATAACCCGGCAGCCCACAGTCTGGATAGCCCATAACTCAGGGCCTGGGTCTGAAGCCTAATCTTTAACACAGGATGGAGGTCACCAAATGGGGGGGAATCGGGTTACCCTGTAGTCCAAAGGAGAAGAAAAGAAAAACAAACCTCCATCAGGAGCTCTGTCCAGCCACCCCACAACACACACACACACACACACACACACACACACACACACACCTCGGCTCCCTGCTCAATTTAAACGTGGGGGTGGAGGTGTGGGAAAAGAACGGAAGTGGTAATGTTGCGTGTTGGGGGCAACTTACGTCATCCTTTAAGACCACCATCTGTCCACACAACATGACATCACCGGTTGCCAAATATCTAAAGATTTAGGAACAATCACACAGCTAATGCTAGCCAATGCAGCTAATGCATTCCTACTTCCAGTTAGCTCTTAATGTTCCATTTTATAATTATATGTATTCAGACATGAATACATGTTTTGTTAAGACAGCTTTCAAGTGTAGACCCATTAGAAATTGAAAGAAGGCCATATATGAATACCAGTTGATTGACGTGTCTGTGCTGTCCAACAATGAAATCATTTAAAATCTCATTAACGTTGCACTGGAAACTTCATAATGTCCTTAGCTCCCATTTGTTTCCCATTTTAGCTTTGCTGCTATGTTAAATTATCATAATGATGTGGATGCATTATGCCTAATTATAAGTAGCAAGGACAACAAGCAGATTCACAAAGAGTGTCATTCTAAAAATGAGTGAGTTAGGTTCCAAACAATGTGTATTAAAAGTAATTTAAAGGGGCCATATTATTCTTTTTTAGGTTTCCCTTTCCTGTAGTGTGTTGTGTTTTTGTGCCTGAAACGCCTCCATTGGAGTCTGTGGTTTACTTATGTTACATAGAGACATCACTATGTAACACTCACGCTTCTATTGGCTTGTGCTTCAACACATTGTACGTGGTTGACCAATCAGAGCAGTCTGTGCTCTGGTTTCAGACAGAGGGTGAAAAGAGGTGCTGCAGCACAGGCAGTATGAACAAATAAAGAGCTTTTTGAACATTAAAGTATGGAAACATTTCCCAGTAGAGGCACACAATACAAATATGAACCTGAACATTAGCATAATATGTCCTCTTTAAGTTTTTTTCAAACATGTTCTGTGAAGAATGCCTGTTGAGTTAAATGCTATATTGTAAATAGAAAAAATATATGCGAGTAAACCCTTCTCATCCACCTGCATTATGGTGAAGATGAGGGTCATAGCTCCATTCATGCAGTCATAAGGTTGCCGTTTTGGGTTCATGACCACACCATGAGTTTCTCTCACAATTGTCAACTTTGGTTTGGCACAGCTCAAATTCACACACTGTGGTCTTACTGTTTAACTCTGAAATTTGCCTGAAGTAGTTCCTGCTCTATTCTATTTGTTTAATGTGATCATTTGTTTTCATATATTTATGTACCGTAATTTTCGGACTATAAGGCGCACCTGAATATAAGCTGCAGCAGCTAAATTGAATGATGTGTACATATATAAGCCGCACTGGACTATAAGCCGCAGGTGTTTTAATGTTTAATTACCATATGTAAGGGTTCGTGCACAGAGGGGATTGTCGGGAAAGAGATGGCTGTTTGAGGAAGCTCCCATTTATTAACATTTCAACAAACAAGTTGCATATTTGCATAACGTATTCAAGTGTTACCATTTAGTGCAATAGTAGCTACAGAACATGTACTGTGCTGTGTAAACTGTACTGTATCACATAGCGTTTCAGACACACAAACTTTTCAACTTTCAAACTTAAACGGTGCGCTCCCAGCGCACGTACCGGCAGTGATCTACAGCAGTGGTTTTCAACCAGTGGTACGGGGACAAACTGTCTCGCTCTCGTAATGTCTGTCTGTCTTGCTCTCATTCTGTCTCTCGTACCAATCTCGGTTCCACTTTTACTTTTGCGCGCTACCTGTCTCACTCTTTTCCGGCCTCCAGCTTTTCCTGCTGGAGCCCGCCGCTTAAAGGTGGGGGGCGCGGACCGGCCATAGAGTTAAAGGTGGTGGCCGTTAGCTGTACAAATCCATAGATTAGCCGCACCTTTATATAAGCCGCAGGGTCGAAAAATGGGGAAAAAGGCGCGGCTTTTAGTCCGAAAATTACGGTATTAACTTCTGTTTTGCCAAAGAGCTCAAATGTACTTTTGGGAATCAAACCAGGGACATCAAAGATACATAGCATACTTAATATATGACAAGTCCCAATTGTAGTGCTTTTTGTGTAATTTTTTTAACATTTAATATGCTCTGTATTATATTTGATGTCTGTGTGCTGCAAGGTGACATCCATAAATAAAATATTCACTCATACATTCGCCCATAGCAGAGCAGAATCTTCCTGGAAGGGTAGCATTAGTGCCAGCACACCATCCAGTGTTGTTTCCCTGGAAAAAATACCATTTAGCCATAACAAGCTCATTAAAAATAACTACTTAAGTGTTGCGGTATGTGGGACTGAGCAGCATGTGCTCTCCTTTGCAGATGCTCAACGCCATCCAGCTGTTTGGTGCCAACCTGGACGACTACCTGCACTTGCTGCTGCCTCCCATCGTCAAGCTGTTTGATGCCAACGATGTGCCCCTGCAGGCCCGCAAGTCAGTACTCCACATGGCTAACTCAATTTACGACTGTGCTCAAGTTTTTCCAGCTTTATCATACTTTATTCATAGAAAGAAAATAACAGTGCAGCTACTGCTCTGGGGGGGTGATGGGCTGATCAACCAATCATCTTTGTTTGATCCCCCCTTGCGTCAACATGTGTCCTTTTGAAAGACATCTAACCCCAAATTGCATGAAGGCCTCTCTACAGTATTGAAGTATATGTAATACAGAGGATTTTATGGACTAAATTTGAAAGCTGTGGGGAAAATTGGCTCGCTTTACTGTATTAGTATATTAATAGCAGGTGTCCATCTTCTAATAAATATATCTGGCTGAAGTCTGAGAGGATATATTTTTGATCAATCTAATAGATTTTCCAGACCTTTCAGTTCATAAATTGAATCTTGTGGAGTCAAGTTTTAACCATTTAATTGTTATATATTTAATTGCTGCTGTTAACACTATTTTAAAGATATATTTCTTAGCTTTTCCATCAATGCCTACCAGAAGTACTCCTAGAAGGGCCGCCTTTGGATTGAATTGAGGTGGAACACTTCATTAAGGGCATCAAACACCTCATCCCAAAACGTTCTTAATTAAGGACATTTAATTGGTTTTGTTGGGCCCATTTAAGCTACCATTTTGGACTTCCTCAAAAATGACCTTTCCTTTTAAATCGGATTTGATTGTATTAACACTTGTACCACAATCATGAAAAAAGTAATTATATTAGCTATGATACTGGAAACATAACAAGGTTCAAATTGTAGTATCTTCACAGCTTTTTAAGTGCACTTTTATGTCCTTTCTTTCCTCCTACTGTTTGACTGAAGCTGAGCATTTCGTGTTGATCTGTGTTTCCTCTCAGGGTTGCCTTGGAGACACTGGACCGGCTGACTGAGTCCCTGGACTTCACCGACTACGCTTCACGCATCATCCACCCAATTGTCCGAGCTCTTGACAGCACGCCTGATCTGCGCGCCACCGCGATGGACACCCTGTCCTCACTTGTATTCCAGTTGGGAAAAAAGGTAGCTAAAGCTGTCCCCGGGGCTTGTAATTATGTAGCTATTATTAAAAAACTTCCAGCTTCCCTACTGCTAGCTTCAGATGAACAGCACTTCACTAACCCCTTCACCCCCCTAGTTTTTATAACTTCCTGCCAGACTGCTGATGTCATTGGCCATTTTGCAGCGGGGGGTTGGTGTTTACGAGAGTGGATGAGGTCACGTTCACCCCTCCCTTTATCCGTAAAAAACTGCTATCGTTTTCAGGCCTAACCTCAGAACCACTAACACACGTGCAGCCTCATCTGGAAACTAACGTGCTGCTTTTGATCTGAGACTCGCGGTGGTTAGAGACAAGTGCAGGGTAGTTATTAGGCTTCTGGTGTTGGGAAAGAGGTAGCCAGACCAAACCACATCAAGCACATCAACACCCTTTTATTTACTCAGCTTCTCTTCCCCCTTATTTTCAGTACCAGATCTTCATCCCCATGGTAAACAAAGTGATGCTGAAGCACAGGATCAACCACCAGCGATACGACATACTCATATGTCGCATTGTTAAGGTGAGTAACACAATATATCCAGGTTTTCTATGAAACATATTAAAGCAATTGATGCCAACACACGTTTCCGACATGTCTCCTTAATTCATCAGCTTTTGTTCATTAGGCCTCATTCACCATCTTTTTTTAGGTAGAACAAGCAAGCAATGTTTTCTTGGTTGGGATTTGTTTTTATATATTAATAGAATCTACACACACTCAAGAACACACTAACTCACATTTTAGGTTTGACAGAATTATGCAAAATTATTGTTTTGTATGTTTTGTACAGTAAAACAATACACTAACTTGAATTCTGTATCCTATGTATTTTTTGTTATTTTATATCCACCAATAATGCTTCTAAATATGTTGGCTAGTAGGAGTACATTTTCTGCAGTACCTCTACTTCACTCAACTACTGTTTAAGTTTTTTTTTTTTACATTTTGAGTCCTTTCCCTCCACGATGTGAGGGTCTAAGGACAGAGGGTGTCGTATTGTCATACTGATATTCTGTATAAACTGTGAAGTCCACTGAGACAAATGTAGCATTTGTGATATTGGGCTATATAAATAAACATTGATTGATTGATTGACCCTAGGTCCTTCATGACAATATCCTCTCAACTTTTCTTTGTAATTTGTTTGTGTGCACACCGCCTTATTTGATAGTCTCATGCCCTTTTATTTCAATTGGCAGGTTGTCTCCCTGGATATTAGGATGAACTGGCATCCTTTCTGAATTTATGAGCACAATAGGATTTATTATAAAAATACGTCATGATATCTGAAGGCGACTTTTCTTAGGTCCTTTTTAATTATAAATGGTCAAATAAGTCCCATTGATCTTGTCTACCTCCTGCCTAGTCAGAGCCCATTATAAACACTTCAAGAAACAGAGCACCTACACATGCCAGCATACATTACCCAATCAGGGACAAACAGTGCATCATAACCAAGTCATTATCATGATTTGTTTATCAACAGTTTCCCCTCAGGAAGGAAATGTGCTTCTATATTCATTGTGTGTGTGTGTGTGTGTGTGTGTGTGTGTGTGTGTGTGTGTGTGTGTGTGTGTGTGTGTGTGTGTGTGTGTGTGTGTGTGTGTGTGTGTGTGTGTGTGTGTGTGTGTGTGTGTGTGTGTGTGTGTGTGTGTGTGTGTGATAGGGCTATACTCTGGCTGAGGAGGAAGAGGACCCTCTAATCTTCCAACATCGCCACCTTCGTGGTAACCACGGTGACGCTCTGGTCAGCGGGCCGGTGGAGGCGGGGCCTATGAAGAAGCTTCACGTCAGCACTACAGCACTTCAGAAGGTCAGAGGAGATGATTGACTTTTCATACTTTTGAAACTCATATTCCTTTGCAGTAAAAGGCACAAAATGCAAGACCAGTGTGGCATTAGCTGTATTGTTAACCGATTGCTGTTGTATACATTTACCAGCCCTGTATACAAGCCCATAGTTTATTTGTGAATTTGTGATGACATATGGAACAACAAACTGGTGATTGATTAAAGGAAAAACTTGAACAAATAATTGGAACACACAATGAAAGCAGATGCTTCCTTTCAGAGCACAGGGGGTCACTGAGTCGACGGGTGAATATGACCTGAGCTGTTACATCACCGGTACTGTTCAACAGTTGAATGATGCAATCTTTTGGAATGACTCAGTTCTTTAACTGCCAAGATACCACAAGATTTATCCAATTTGTCCTACACGCATTACCTGCAGAAACTATACTGCTCCCACGTAGTTCCCAGTGACTGAGACGGATGGTTTCTGTTTCTTCATAGGCCTGGGGTGCTGCAAGAAAAGTGTCCAAAGACGATTGGCTGGAGTGGCTGAGGCGTTTGAGTGTGGTCCTGCTGAAGGAGTCGTCCTCCCCCGCCCTTAGGTCCTGCTGGTCACTGGCTCAAACCTACATCCCCCTCGCCAGGTACACCACTTCTTTGGTCTACCCTTTTAGCCGTTCCTTCTTTTAGGTTGTCCTCTTGTTGCAGTCCCTTATTGGTTTACATCCGTGGTCTACTATAACAGCTAAAAACATTAACATAATGGCCATATTAACCAATGCAAATGACCACATTTTAATTTCTCTCTTTCTGATTTGCGCTTCCGTTGTTACAGTTGGTGGACAACCACCTTTGAGCTAAATCTGGTGGAGAAATAAGGTTCTGGTCCATTGAAAAAAAAAATATATATATATTCAATCTGCAATAAGAAGATTCAAAAATGTAAATATTTATATTGACATAAGAAAAGTAAGTTAATATATTAATTATGAAAATCTGATTATTGCTATAAATGTCCAATGTAAAACTGTAATAAACGTAAGTGTTTTAAAAAAATAAATGTATTGTTATGCTACTATTGAGGAACCTAAGATCTAAGCTTTTCATGCATTACATAATTACACCGTAGTTTTGTATATGTCATGACAATAAAACCTTTGAATCCTTTGAATCTTTGAATTGAATCTAATGCCACAGCTTATCAGCCTAAGTATTGTACAGTTTAATAGGGAGTCACAGCAGTAATATATCAGATGTTATTGTGGATCCAGATATGACTGGGTAACTATACATTTAAAGCAGATTCTACTGAAAAGTACTACAAATGCTTCATGATCAAAACTATAGTATTTGGATTTTACAGTTATGCTTTTTACAAGCTATAAAATAATCCAACTGCTTTCTTATATCAGTTTAAAGCCTGTCTTTGCAAAAATGTAATGCTGTTTCACACATTGGGTATCTTTGTTTAACGTGTAAACGCTGTTCCTGTGCCGCACAGGGACCTGTTCAACGCTGCCTTCCTGTCTTGTTGGTCTGAGCTGAGCGAGGATCAGCAGGACGAGCTGATCCGCAGCATCGAGTTGGCTCTCACCTCCCAGGACATCGCAGAGGTCACACAGACTCTGCTCAACCTGGCAGAGTTCATGGAGCACAGCGACAAGGTGAGCATTGAACCGCAGCAGCTACCTTAGTTAGACCTTTTACTTTACCTTTTTATTTGGTATCTTTTCTTTTTAAACATTTTATTCAAGTCGATATTTCTATTAAATGTTTTATTGCTTATCTTTTATTTGATTGTATTCTAAAATGGAGCAAAGGTCATGAAACCATTTCCTTCTATATTCAATAAATAAGGCAATAAAAGGTCCTAAATCCCTCTGATGCAATTCAGACCAAATCAAACCATGCTTTATCGAATTGCCTGCAGTCCTTTATATAAGCTAGAATTGTTTTTGATTCAAAGTGTATTATATTAGGTGTTTTATTTTAAAGGGTTGACAAATACAAAAAAATCTGTCTTATATAATTGAATCTCAAACCGCCCATAATAAATCCACAGGTGTGAGGTGTTTTTCATTACCACCAATGACCCAACTTTAACAAGTCTATTTCTGAGCTTTTTATACACAAACTGTCAAGCCCCTTTGTGGAACAAAAGGTCCACGCCAACTGGATGTGCATGACATTACATTCACTACATGATGTTGGAATACCTTCCGAAAATGGGCTGTACTTACATTGTCTCCAGCTGGCAGAGCAGCACCATTCAGACCTCATCTGTTTTGACATTGTCATTGTGGAAACAACGATGATGGTTGACTTGGCCAAGTTCATTTTAAGGTTTTTCTTTGTCATCAACGTATTTTCACACTAACTCGTGCGTGAAGGCATTCGGTGTTATGAATTTTAAGCATCTGCCGGAAAATTCAAATGGTGAATCAGATGGTAAATAGAGTTTATGATCGCAAGTAACGGCTACGCCTAAATAGAGGCTCTTGAAAACATGAGAAGTCACCCAAGTATCCTCATATGCCCTCATATTTTGAGGAGACATTAATGCTTTAATTCACTAGGCATACCTGCATCATGCTGTGACATAGCATCTTTGGTGTTGGCCCAAAATGGTCATCAGCCTTTTTGAAATTGTTAAAGGTGATTGTGTGTTTGAGATATTCCCAGTCTGCACTACATTACACTCATAAACAGTTAATTAGAAATAGTTTGCTTTCAATTTGATAAAAAAAGGAACGGGAAAGCATAAGATGACATCAAGGTGACATATCGTCACATCATTCATGTTCCAATGCTCTTTCACCAACATCTATATCTGGAGCAGTGTTTCTTTTGATTGGGAAAACCTTTTGAAGTCTGACGAATACACATTTTTCCACTCATAATTTCCAGGTAAAGATATTTCCGCTAAGTGCAATTAAAATGTTATGAGCAAAACAGGCCTACATGTTGGTTTGTTTGCAAATATATTTTATTCTGTTTTATTGTTGCTAAAAATCTGTAGGTTTATTTGAGTGGGCTTCTTTTAATTTAAATAGCCCACTTTATAATAATAATCAATGCCTGACTTGATGATGTCATTATTTCTATAGCCTTCCTATCAATTGTTTTTAAGCTTAAAAATAACCTCCCGAAGAAAATGAGCCTTAATGACTTAAATTGGCACATTAAAAGTATGGACTCAAGTGTTCATGTTAATAAATGTGCTCTGTCGGTTCCTAAAAAAATAAATACTAATACAAACCGGTAATATCTAACCAGAATTTCTTCCATTTGTCCGGGATATTAATATCTTCTCAGAAACACTGATCCCTTCCTAAATGACATGCAAAGGTGTTGCAAACCAACTAGAACAGGTCATAGAGAAGCCTTTCAAGATGCCATTTTGTCCCTAGGCCACATGTTGAGCTAATTAGTGATGACACTGTTACGTTGAGTCCACAGACCGTCATGTGGGGATCATAATATACCAGGGACACCCCCTGCTGTGAGGCTGCAGTGGAAACACGTGCAATGCGACCTATTTGGAGCCATTGGAAAGAAGCGAACCAGGCTATCAGACACCCTTTGGCACGTCAAATGGCTAGATTAACCACCATATTTAGAGCATTAAACACAGACTTTTCTCTGAATAATAAGTTCAATGTGTGATGCAAGCCTTGCTGATTGCCAATAGAGAGCAACTGTCCATTCAACTTCCATTTCATTTCGATCTTACTCAACAACTTGGTAATTTTGTACAATTTGTTTCTTTTTCCAGGGCCCTCTGCCCCTCAGAGATGATAATGGAATTGTGCTGCTGGGGGAGAGAGCTGCCAAGTGCCGTGCCTACGCCAAGGCTCTGCACTACAAAGAGCTGGAGTTTCAGAAAGGTGCTTCTCCTCTCATCCTGGAGGCTCTTATCAGGTAGGTGGTCTTCATACCATATCATTCCATCTTGGCTATGCACCGGAATTTGCGCAACCAGCCACGGTTGCGGTTAATACGATGAACACAGCATTATACAAAATAAGTTTCTGATATTTAATACATTACTTTTTTCTGTCGAAAAAAAGCCAACGTTCATTTTACTGGTTTAATTGAGCTGTCTGTAGAGATTTGCTACATCGAATGACAGCATTGCTAGCTAGCTAGCTAACAAAGTGATTTTTTCACTTCCGTTGAGCGCACAGCAGCCATGTGAGATTTGAGATGACACTACACTTTGAAAATACACACACTGCTTACATGTTCACAGTTTATAGAATAGAAAGGTACTGCAGTGTCCGCCTCACTTTGCTTATTTGTGTATGTTCTCCTTTGGCCCCTGCACGTTTTTCACAAGTTATGTTCAAATTATTATGTAGCTTTATACAAAGCTGTATATATCTTCTTCAGAGTAAGGACTTGCTTGTGACTTTCAGATTTTATCATAATTGAGCACTGCTGGTGTGGATTCGTCCTCATCACAAAAACGAGGTTTGACAGGCGGCTCTGTAATAAACAGTTACTGCATTAGAAGTTATTGCTTCAAGACAAACATGAAACTATTCTTTCAAAGTCAATTTATATTCTAATAAATACACACTCAGAGAATGATATTACACATATCCTCACATAAGCCTTTGATATCTTCTGTCATCTTTTCCATACTCCTTTCTCATCCTTCTTTATTTCTATGCCTTTGGCATGGCATGGAAAAATCTGTTTTCCAGGCATCTAATTGGACGCCTGCCTCCTTTTCATCTGTGAGTGTCTGGACTTGTGTTTCTCAGGGGTCTGTTTTCAATTTCTCAGGAGCCTTGATGATGATGAACGATGGGGGCCGGCACTCTGGTGTTTTCAATATCCCCATCTGGTTCTCACCTCTCCAGGATTTCCCATAAAATATCCAGAGGCTGGTGTGCATAAGCACTAAGTTAACCTGGTTCGACTGAGTAGTTTCTGTATTTAAAAAAGAAAAGAAAAAGGTTCATATCTGATGCACACTTTTTGATGACGTGGAGGCAGAGCACTTTTGATGAGTCAGGGCATTTGTAGATGAGTTGAAAATATTTTGAGGATGTTTATTTTGTATTCTCTTATATGGATAAATACAATTCAAGGTATTCATTCTGAATAGGTGACATAACTCAGACTTTTTACGAGTCGTAACTGGTTTGAATAATGTGTGAGGGATTTAAAAAAATACATCTAATAATTAGTTTGAGGTCTGACTATATTAGGCTTTGGAAAGAGCCAGGACATTAGTCACATTTTCCCCAACAACAGAGGAATATTGTTAATTGAGCATTTGGTCCATGGTGTTATTAGTACATCGTCCAGTGTTTTAATATTGACTTGGATTAGTCATTTGTTTCGGTTTTTATTTAATTTGACAGTCTCTGTTAGAATGGAATGATGGTGTGAAGCTGTGTGATAGATATTATTAAGGTCTGTTTAAGTAAAGTGCTCCCCCATTTACTAAGTTAATATGAATTTGGTGGTTCCATCGCCACTGTAGGAACTACAGCCGGGCATTAGTGGCATCTGGACAATGTGTTAATAATAAATGGGTAGCCATAATGTTACCAGGCACTATGGAAATGGATTTTTTAATAAAATGTATGTTCAGATGTATAGAATGCTGTAAACTGCAAAACTCCATCTTATGCTAACCATACAGAGAGGCTTTTGTGCATTATTGTATTTTACTTCTTAACTGCTCTTATGGGTCCAATGTAGGAGTAAAAGGGGGTGGGCACTATAGTAGGAACACATGTACAATGTAATGCAATCCATTAGCCACTGGAGGATATTCTACTTTGGTAATAACTGCATTAGATGTGTGGGTTAAACCGAGAACAATATATACACTTCATATATAGAATAATATAATCTATATAGATTTATATAAATGTTTTATCAGGGAAATCATATAATGAAATTCAGGTCAACAACATCTCAAAATGTAGCTTCCAGAATGACCCTTAAATTGAATCCATAACACTGACAGTTAAAATAAATGTGGATCATATTAACTACCAAAGGGTTGCATCAACCTGTAGCTGTTTTAGTGGATTGCATTACTTTTTATTAAACACCTGTTCAGTAGATGCGTAGGATTCTCCTTTTATATACTATCTGGATTCCAAGTGAAAAATATGTGAAAGTAAGGACTTATTTATAGACACACACAATAAATCAAATGTGTTTGCTGAGGACTAATAAATCCCCATTAACGTATTTTTCTTAACTTTTAGAACAATAAATTCAACACCATATTTTCTGCAATTCTTTGTTTAATACCTGCTGAAAGAGCCTGGAAGTCATATTCACCTAAACACAATACATCTTTAAGATTTCTATCTTAAGTTAAACTCTCCACAGATAAGTTCAACTTCCATTTGCAGCCGTTGGGTTTCCTAAGTGATGCACATCAGTGATTAGAAATCAATCTTCGTCAACAGAAACCAGCCTAAAGCTGTTCTTAAACCATCCATCACTGTTCAAGGTCTCCTTTTGTTGTTGGGGGCAAAAGTTTGAATAGTTTAACCCTTAGAAATAGAAAGACCTTGACACCATCCAAAGTTGCCTTGGGAAGAGAATCACACTAAGCCCATCACTGACCATATATAGGCAGTGCTCCCTGTCTGTAGGTATATGAATGCTCTATGGAATTCTTGGTTGGTTAATAGCGTAGCATAGTAGTGTTTTTGTTTTGTAGGTAGTAAACCTAAAGGCATTTAACTCAACAGCAGAATAGAGTCTGTGTGGTCTTCAGTCTTAGGTTTGGCTTAGCCCCGGGACCTTTGTCCAGGATGTCAGTAAACGACCCCAAGAGTCAGAGGTCGGTGGCTCAGGGCACATATGTTGCTAAATTTGGACAGGAATGGACACCTTGGTTTGCTTTTAGACCTCCATTCAGTTGGACACATTTCAGCTATGCTATTTAGCCAGCCAGTGGAGTGAAAAGAATCATGTTGAATAACCAGGGTATATGCTTTGTTTCTTTTAAAAAATATGTTTATTTTCTATTACATTAAAACAACATAATTACAGAGCTGTACACATTTTACAAATGACACATTTCTGTCATCAATGGTTAGGGTTTTACAATAAAATACAGCGTAATTCATAGGAAATACCTTTGTTGGTTGATCCCATTCCATCAACACACATAGAACTTTTTAATTAGTTCCTACCAGTCCATAATGATTTACCTCGAACCAAACCACTCTGGAAAGATTATTTATACTACCCATAAATTGCTTGTGTTAACTGAAACTAGCATCCTAGTGCTTTCAAGACAAATGAGACAAGGAATCAAAATCCAGTCACCGATACAGGACAGTGGTAAAAGAGCATCTATCAAAGCTTTTTTTAAAATAAAATATTTTACTGATAAATACAATTAACTACAATTTACAATCAAACACCGCAAAAAAACATTACACATTCATTTGACTGAAACTCAATCAGACCATCACAAACGACATTTTCGTTTCTCTCGCAGTCGAGGGGGTAAGCCACAGTTTGGTTGAACATGTATTAGTGATATCTCTCAGCATTCATGCGTATGATCTTGGTCCAGGACACAGCTGAAGCACTTATGGTTGAAAATCCACTGGCCGGATCTTCATCTCCACTTTCTTGAGGGAGTAGTTGGACCCGTGCCAACCGTACCAATTGATCCCATCTGACTTCTTTGTGTGCTGACCGTAGCGGTAAAATACGCCGTTCAAGTTTGAGTCAGTGCAGCAGTTGTACCAGTAACCACCTGGAAGGAGACAAGGGAAAATAATCAAACTTAATGCTAATGGGAAGGAATAAGTATCTGTAACATCTACTATAAATCACACCAGTAAAAGGAACGTTTTCTGTGGATTTTTTGCAAAAAACGTACCTTTGCGCATGGAAGCACAATGGTCCACACATTTGTCATTGTCCTTGTTCATGGTGCTGAAGTTGGTGTTGTTGTGGTAGCGCAGGGAGTCTCCAGCGTTCCCACTGTAGTTGGCAAGGAAGAGCTTGTAGCTGTTCAGCTCATTACTCACACTGAAAAAGCCATATTCGGCGTAGCGCGTCTTTCCTTCCCAGTCCTGCATTGAAAAACATAAAACATTATTGAGAATATTGGCTTTCAAGGTGTGCCTGAGATAGTTTTATTTATTATTGATATACACTGCCTACCCTTAGAACAAACTGGTTCTGGGTTTTTACCTTCTCACTTTTAGCTATTAAAGGTTTATCCACTATTAGCATATTCATGCTCTTAAGTGTCTCAACCCAAGCTATAATAAGTGCTGTGCTTTCCAACACGTACCTCCATCTCAATCCTGAGCACAGTGGGCTGCCTTGTTAGACGGAAGATGTTGTCATTGCCTAACCAGAAGTCTCCGCGGATAGATCCAAATCCTTTTTTGTACTGCTTCCAGTCCTGGTTAAATGATGTCAGGCCTACTTTGCGCCTCTGGATCAGAGTCCAACCGCCTCCATTGGTTTCCATATCACAGAAGACCTGAACATATTTACCATAATGTTAAGCAGATGGCCCACTCTGCTCCACCAATAAGTGCAAAAATAAAATGCTTAAGTTCAACTTACGCTTAACTCAGGTGTACCCAGAAACTCATCTTTAGGAAGTTTGTACTCGCCAGAGATCTTGTAGTTCTTGCTGTTCAGCAGGGATGAGCAGTCATATATGGCATCTGGAAGAAAAAAAAGAACCCTTTTCAGTTATGATAAAACCATATGCAGGTTCATAAAAAGAGTGAATGTCATAAATCTGAACAGCTTTATGGATATCTGAGTGATTGGGCAGATGAAAAATTGACCTTTACCCCCACCAAAAGCAAAATAGATCAAAACAGAAGGCTCAGATTTTTGCATAGTTCTCCTCAGACTTCAGTCGCAGTATGGTAATGCCATTAATGGGGCTATGGGATCACTATGGAGCATTAAGCCCAATACTTTAAAAAGGCTGTGTGAAAGAAAGAGAGATGGAAACCTTCCACTTCTTCTAATCTTTGCATCCCTTCCTGTTCTGCCCTCCTGTCTCTAATTTACTCAAGTTTAAAAAAGAAAGAAAAAAAAGGCCCCTGTGTTCCCTGTGCCAGTGACATAAATGTGGCCCTGCTAGACCACACAGTTAAGGTATTGAAATAATAAACTACGTCATGCCTGGCTAAGCTCCTGGAAGCGGCCAATGCTGATTAGTGTCGGAGATCATTTGTCTTTGATGGAGCTCTCTATTGACACCCCTGCAGATGAGGCTCCAGCTTCAAAATAATGCTTTTCACTGCTGTCAGGCAACTCAGATTAGTGTGAGCACTGTAATTTTCTTCACAACCAATTCAAAAAAAAGATTCTGGGACCAACCAAGCAATAGACATGGCTGATTATAGTTTTTCACGCCTGGAATAAATATATAGTTTCTTGTGTGCAAAAATATTTAGCATATTTGAAAAATGCTTCAGATACTTTACGTCTTCACATTCCAGTGAAATGGATGCTTATGCATTTCTCAGCTTGTTATTTACTTGAGTTTATCTTTTCAAATAAAAAATGAGTACTCTTCACAATTGCAAGAAACCTTTTTGTAAAATGAAGACATGCTGAACATGTGAGTAGAAAAAAGGTACATTTTGAGTTCAATATTATTCCAAAATCTTTCCCATCTGGTGAACACCTGGAGTGTGAATTTGACAGCAACTGCTTAACAGGCAGAGGAAAAGGCCAGTTGCTCAAATATGCACTGGAATCACCAAAGGGTCAGTTTTACCATGTGTGATCATTTTATTTAAAATCTCCCCCGGACTGTTTCATGTGAATACAGTTCAGCAAAAATAACTTACTTTTTTTTAAGAGGTAATGACACCAAACAGAAGAACAAACAATTCTGGTCATTAATTCCTACTCTATTGCCAGCTGCTACAACATGTCAATGCTCACCTGATGAAGTCTGAGTGGCAGACTGCAGGGTTTGCAGCTGCATGATCTCTACTCGGTTGTTGATTTCAGAGTACTTGCTCTCCGCCTCCGTGACCCGGGCTTCCTGGTGCCGGTTCTGCTTGTCCAGCTCCATTACTTGCCTAACAACGCTCATCAAGTCGGTCTCCTGCTTGCGACTCATCTCGTCCAGGATACTGGTCAGATTGGCCACCTGGACCTTCAGTGAATGCACATCGTTGCAGCACTGATTCTTGGAGGACTTCAGAGATGCCAGTCTCTTCCTGGGATTCTGGGCCCAAGTCTCCGCCAACAGAAGCAGCGTGAGCCCAAGAGCCATTACGCTCAAATTAACTTTTGCCATTTCTTATAGGAAAGTACTTCAAAAAAAGTAGTCGTTCCCTGGAGAAGGTCTTTGCTGGAAATATCAAACGGACCAAAGCTTCGGCTGACCGGTAAAGTTGGAGCTCCTCACCCAGGCTCTGTCTTGTTTCCTAAGTGAAGCCCTCCTCTGCTTGAACATCTTAAATATTTTGTATGTGGGTCCTCCCCCTTTCCCCCCCTCTGCGCACTATGCTGACCCTCTCCAACCTTCAGGGTGGAGGACCTTTCCCATACCTCCTCCCCCTGGCCCCCCGCCTACTTCTCCACTCATCTTACTTTCACTCATTCCACAGAGGTTTTTGCCCACGTTTCTGCTCTCTTTGTCAGGTGTTGAAGGTTTCCTGGCAGTACGTTTTTTTTTTGCCTCTGCCTGGAAGGGCAACATTAGAGGCTGAGGACACAAAACAAAGGTTACTGTCTGAACTCAATGCACTTACAATTACAAGCCATTTGGTAAGGTGTGAAACGGCAAACTCTTAAATACTTGCACTGTATTAAAGTTATTTCGCTTTGAAGACAAATGTTTACAACATTTAAAAGAATGTTTCAGGCTTAACAGCCATTGTATGTAATTATCTTCCCTGTCTTCACACTCAAATTAGCCTGTTAATGACAGATTTGACTCCTATCCTTGGGGTTAACCATTTCTTCACTAAATGTGGTCTTCACATGCCAAGAGGTGTGCGAAGTCACTAATCACTCTTAATTGTGGGTTAAGTGTTCTGTTGATGCTACCCTTTTTGGCAGACTTTGAAATATAAATGTTTTCTGCAGTGCCTTTCAACATAACACTTTAAAAGGGTGTTGATAAAACGGGAAGTGCTTCTGAAAAAAATTAGGCCAATATACAGCCTCCATTAAGAAGAAAGAATGTATTCAGGAGAGGGCAAACAGTCTTTCCGAAAAGATTAAAATAAGATTTATAAATAACACTTTTTACTCTTGACTCTATGCAGGGAAGTTTAACAGAAAGGTTGAGGTTCTTCAGATCCAAAATGAATCTCTGATGTCTATCTAGTGAATAATACTGCTGCTCTTAGTCATATTATGCGAGTAGTAAGATGAGTCAATGCAGAGTTCAACCCATGCGATGTATATTGAGGGTCTTTGTTCGTCGGGTGCCTTGTTTGTGTCTTTAGATCTCCAAAGGTCTTTAAGTTGTCCTGACGATGGTCCCTTAGCCTTAACCTTATTCCAACCCTAACCCTTCCACATTGTGTCGCTTTTGGCACATTGAATACATGTATTCGTTTTCCATTGACCCATGAATTCAGGTTTGACCCGGGTCACCCTGTCTGTCTGGATTGGGTATAAAGGAGCTCTGTACAATGGTAAGTATCTGGTTACTCTTGACTAATTCAGCCTGTGTATATTTTAATACTGTACGTTGTTGAAAGGAAACGCTCATAGGCACATAAAGTGGTCATTGCGGTTGGAGCCAAATGTTAACTGCTACAATAGTGGGGCATACAAAGCAGCCTTGTAGCAGAAAGTGTTCGTTTTCCATCTGCAGCCGAATTGGGTGCATTTGTCCAATCATTGATCTGGGCGTGAACATTCTACCGTTGCAATGTCAGATATCAGAGAGGCTTTCTTGAATCTCCATTCTGTGGAATTTCTATCCCAGCTTCCCGAGGAGCTGCCAGCCTTGCCAACTAAGATGAAGGCTTTGGAGATTAGGCCAGGTTGTGGGGTTTTAGGGGGCGTTTACCTTGGATATGGGAACAGCAGATCGTGCATAACTTTTATGATCCTCCACTATGCCTGATCATTGGCGTGCAAAATAGATGAGCTGCCATGGTGAGGTGCCAGGGTATGCTGTAAGTATAGGGAGTTTTGCGTAGCAGTAGTAACTGAGACATGGCTGTACCCGGACATTCCTGTCAGTTTTTACTTAAACTTTATGGCTTTTCCCTTCTCCACATGGACAGGAATAGAGTGTCTGGAAAAGGTAGGTATTAAGGCGTTTGCAAATTCATAAACAAGAAAACATTTCTCTGTCCAAGCATTCAAACACCATCGATTTCCTTCAGATGATTTGAAGACTTTTGTAGCGCCATGATGCAATGTTTTTACAAGTGGGTCTACATCTGAGTAATGCAATAACGACCACAGCAATCGACTATTTTAACAATAAAGTATTCTACAAATGATTATATTGATTAATCAGATAATAAATAATTTTGCTTTATTAAAGACCAATAGTAAATAAAGCTACAAATAATTCCAATTCTTGCTATGGCATGTATATGAATTTCTTGCCAATAAAATGTTTTAACTGCAATGTATTGTACAGGAAAATATTAACCAATGGAGGCAAAAACAAGGAGCTGAGGGCGGAAAGGGTTGACGGAATATTAGCAGTAACTTAATATAACTGTTGAGAAAAAAATATCAACACTTTTACTGTAATTTCCCCTATTATTACATAATTTAACATCACAAGCTGAAACATTGTTTTTTTAAACATTGCTCTTTTTCTGTCCCTCTTGCTTAATGTTTGGCATCAAACGAATAATGAAACAGTTTTGATTGTTCTGCTCGGCATCATGCGGTCTGGTGCACAAATTCCAAATGATTACATAGTTATGAAAAGGTCTATTATTGCTTTGATGTTTCACCCAATAGCAAAACATTTGGATTTGTATAGCTCCTTATTTTTATGGGGATTTTGCTTCTGTAATGTTGCTGGCCATTTATTTTTTTAAATGTGGACATATGCTTTTAGTTTCCTGGATTTGTTGGATTTGTAAGGTCCATATGGGAGCAATATTACATTTTTCATCTCCATACAAACAAAATAGATTGCCTTCATGTACGGTTTGTTGAAATGCTTTTAATTGCCAGACAAATCCTCCACTCTGATTAGATCATAACATGATCCTTGCCTTGAATTTCCTCCATTTGTCAAAAAAGTGGCCACAACAACTCTCCATAATGTTATTGTTAGCCACAATATGTATGTGGCTTAGTTTCATGTGGTTCTCTTTGCGTAAAACCGCAATGTGATGATTGCAGGGTAAATAAAGTGAGTCACCACATAATGATCTCATTGAAATCCAGTCTTACCTTTCCATTATGTTTGAAAATATTCCGATGATATCTACCAGAGAGAAACAATTAACAGGTAATTCAGTTAGGATAACTATCTTTGCTATGGTATGTTAAATATAATTGAGTTATTGGAAACTAGCACCAATTCTCCTGCCAAAAGTTGATAGAATTGTCAAAATGTTTATAATTTTGACCTTAGCTCTTCTCTAAATAATAATTCTTGCGTTGGCAGATGTTTCTAACTAACAATGTTCCGTAAATAATGTTATGTTTAAAGGTGTGTAGTGCCTGTTGACCTCCCTGTAAAATCTTAACCTCAAGCCCTTGATGTGCGTCAGTCTCTTTTGGAAAATGTGCCTTCATGGATTTTCTCATTGCCCTAACTGCTCTGTGAGTCACATCTCTCTCAGCAGCAATGCATCCCAGCGGCATCACTTTCCTCTGCTCCTGGACTCTGTCACTCAGTGCTAGTACAGGAAAAGTCCAGATGGATGCTGTTTTATATGTTTAGCATCAAGCTGTTTTTCCCTTCAAAACAGCTTCTTTAAACACCATTTTCCCCTTTTAACTATGTCTCACCACGCTCTGTGGGAAGAATGCACTGCTCCTCTTAACATTAGAGGTATTTACTCAACTTTAACCAAAGCCCCCCTTTTTTATACGACTTCCTCTGGAAGCCCGAACATTTCATTGAACGTTTTTTTCCCTTTGCCCTGTAAGACAAGTTGGACACCCTGCTCTGCTAATCGCAGCTGTCATCTATCTTTGATAAGTGTGAGCTGACCAAACACAGTGTTTTCGGTCGGAATATTCTCACAGACGGCTTTTGTGTCCCTAAATACACTGGAAAAACCTTTTTGTAGTCAAACAGTGACCACCGGGGCCAAGCTGTCAGTGAAGCACTCATGGGTTCAATTACAGGCAAAGGCAGGAGGTGAAAGCAGGAGCCAGCGGATTCCAGGGCTTCTATCTCAAAACTTGAATTACGTAATCTTTATTAACGGTAACCCCTTCCACCTGTCGGCTCTGTTCTAACACAAGATCCTCAGTTTCAATTGTAAAAATTGTATCCCTTTGGCTTATTTGAAGGGATGATATTTCCTTTAGTTGCTTACTTAAAAACAAACGTAACATATCAAATAATTGCAATTTGGAAGTGGATTCACTGTGATAGACTTTTTGATTATTTTATTGAATTGAACCATTTCGTTTTTTAATGTGAGAAAGCTTGATTTATTATCCATTTTTAAACCAATACTTATGGTACTTATTAACTCAGTCTAGCTAGATTATTAACACAGTTCAAATGTAAATGACATGCCTGACATTCCTCCTATGCCATTATAAAATCACTATGGGATGGATTACCCTAATTTCTGACACGCAAACGGTTGAGTTACCACGGTTGGATTTCAAAATAATACAATAGAAAATTACTTGCTTAATTCAGTCAAACCTGGTCACGTATCGGGATTAAATAAACTGTTCCATATTCCAGTAATATAGGAGACAGTATGCACCAGAGTGTCTGGCTCTTAGAGTGGCAGACTTCATGCCCTGGCAGACTATCAAGAGGTCTGGTGGTTTAAGCTGGTTATGGCTACCATGTGGTGTGCTGTCGCACAGCGTACTGTATGCAGGTCAGGTCGCGGCCGTCTGCTGACCACCCCACGAACCAGTAGCTGGGACACACAGTCCTTGAGGGGAAGAAGAAACGGATTAGCCTCGATCCCTTTTAAAATGATTATATCGCTTTGTGTAAATACAGCTGGCCACATGGCACTTCTTCTAAAAGAACTTTTGTGACATTGAAATGTGAAAGTTGTTGTGTCATGGGACAGAAAACAAAAACTACTTGTGACCCCATTTGGCCATTCCATTGTGTGCCTTTGGCTATATCAGCACGATATCAGGCATTTAAGTACATCTAACAATTAATTAAAGTGAGCTGAAAGGCAAAAACGTTGATATCATTAAGCTATATTCTCTTGGACTTCCTCTGCATTCATAGTATGTGTTCTACGATACTTTTGAACACAGTGTAGCCAGTAGAAATATAAATATACAAATCAA